ATTGGTCAAAAACTGAAGGACACCATGCGGATGTCTCACATACTACAATTCCACAAATATAGCGAATCAGCTGCACGCATATTAGAGATGTTTATGGTGCACTATTAAGGCCACTATACGCGGCGTGATGTCTATTTCTACGCGGCGTTTTATGTGTGTCTACAGGGAGTGGAATGTGTCTCTAGCTCCACGCGGCGTAACGTCTGTCCTTTTATAAGTGGCGTGGTGTGTGTCTCTACGCGGCGCGATGTCTGTCCTATAACTTGGAGCGGCGTGGTGAGCTTGTCTTACATACGCAGTGTGGACTTCCGAACAAAAGACGTCCACATAATGTAGGTAGCAGCGACGAAGTGTGGACTTGCCCACGTCCACACAGTGTTTCCCCATTTCTGGAAAACAGGTTTAGAGGCATTTTTGGGTTAGGTTTATCCGTAGCAGAATGAAGAGAAACACTAAAGGGAATCATTGAAAAAAAAATTGGGTTGTAAGAGTTTTCACAGTTTGAGAAAAATGAGTTTTTCCACGGGTGTTCCTTAACTACACGAAAAGAAAGGAAAGTCCACACTAGGTATGTGAAACAAGTCTGAGCTTGTCTTACATACGCAGTGTGGACTTCCGAACAAAACACGTCCACATAATGTAGGTAGCACCGACGAAGTGTGGACTTGCCCACGTCCACACAGTGTTTCCCCATTTCTGGAAAACAGGTTTAGAGGCATTTTTGGGTTAGGTTTATCGGTAGCAGAATGAAGAGAAACACTATAGGGAATCATAGAAAAAAAATTGGGTTGTAAGAGTTTTCACAGTTTGAGAAAAATGAGTTTTTCCACTGGTGTTCCTTAACTACACGAAAAGAAAGGAAAGTCCACACTACGTATGTGAAACAAGTCTGGGTGGGGGTGTGTGTGTGTGTGTGTCGATCTACGCGGCGCGATGGCTGTCCTTAAGCGCCGTGGTATGTGTCTCTACGCGGCGTGACGTCTGTCCTAAAAGATATAGTCCATCATTTGTAATTTGTGCATTTTGTCCGTTTGAAGCAACAAAAGTGTTCAAAATCTAATGAAGGATACTGAACAACTAACCTTATGACGTTTCAGCTCAGCTTCAGCTGTATATTCCGAGAAAAACAGCATTCAAGGATCTCAATTTCAAATCAAAAGTTGCTGAATCATGTTTTGAATTGTTTTAAATTGCAGCTATACGCGATGTCGTGCACTGATCCACGAATTATAGCAACCGCGCGCGCCCCTGCGTCATGCCAATGCTTGCGCGCGCTGCGCCGAATAACAAAACGAACTACTAATTTAAATTTTCCAACGGTGAGTCTTAAGACGCACCGTTGGAAAGGCCTTCTTCAGGGAGTTTAGTCCACTTACTATCTT